AGAGAGAGAGAGAGAGAGAGAGAGAGAGAGAGAGAGAGAGAGAGAAGATACACAAGATTGGATCTGTTGTCATCTTCCATTTCAATAAGATTAAGTGGCTCAGTGGCAGTAAGAACCTCCAGCAGAACAGGACTGGGTCTGCATTAACTTTGACATTCATCACAGGCAAGGAGCCCATCCCAGCCTCAGCTCTCAGTTTTGTTTTTGTAAACAGGAGTCACCCTTGCAGGGTTAGCCAATTGAGAGTGGTACAGTGGGTTCTCAGTAAGTGACTGTCATCCTGGCTGTGCTTTAATTGACTTCCGCAATTTGATTTAGGGCAATTTTGTGTAGTGATCGTTCTAGGCTTCCCAGCCCTGTTCAGTTCCTAAACCACCCCTGTGCCACCGCTAAGAATTCAGCTTTAACGCATTTGCACAGAGGCCCAGTGGCTTGACTCTGTGACAGAGAGAGATAAAGGCCTAAAACGCAGTGTGGGATCTGGACCAAGACAAAGGGGAAAAGAACAGCTCGTGTTCCAGCAAGTCATGAGCTTCTAAAGGCTATTCTACAACACTCTCCTTGGTTTATAACCACTTCTCTATGGTCTAGACAGCCTTCACTCCATCACCCTGTTATAAGCCCCTTACCCTCCATCATTCTTTGCTCTCTGGTCACTTACACTACAATGGGAAGAGCTGCTACTTATTCTTCTCATGAGGACATACATGTTATTTCTGAGAAAGAAAGACTTCGCACCCAAAACAAGAATTTAGCCAACAAGTGAAACAATAATTTCATCAGACACAGAAAGAGGAAAAGACAAGAGGACCTTTGTGAAAAGCCACAAAAATATCCACACAGTTACTCGTCTGTGTCACACACAGCCTTATGGGATGGCCGAGCATTTCCTGCAGCATCTGATATGATTAAACTTAGAATGATCTGCATGGGGAACCCTTTTTCAAACTTCCAATTCCTCTTTGTAGACTTGCACATGTCTGTCTGGAAATTGGGCTGTCTCTGTAAGCCCCACTCTAGGGTCTCACTTCCTGGCTCTATGCTGACCCTAAGATGACCGAGTAGAGCTCATCTCTTCCTTCTCCAATAGACAACACTCTGGGGTTCCAGCCAAGCTGTAAACTGTAATCGACCACAACCACCTCTTTTCTCTCTTCCCCGTCTTCTTTCCAGCATTGTCCTGAAGGCTCTGCCCCCCTTCTGACCATTTGTCCTTCAACAGAATGTCGTCCCCATATCTCCACTATCTCTGCCTGCAGAGCCTCTTGGGAGTGCAGACGTACACCCTCCAAGTGTTGACCTCTCCTTCTACCTTTCAACCCGATGCTCAGTGCTATGTCCACCTGTTGGCTTGTACTTGACAGTAATAGCCATCTACTGTGAATTACCCCCCACCAGTCTCCCCACTCCCTTACCCTGCAGGATTGGTTCACCTCTTCATCACCCCAGTGTCCCCCATCCACACAGAGGGTGGCTGTGATGGAAAGTGGGATATCTGCAAAGCCGTGAATGGTGCGTATGGCTCACAATGGGCAGGGGCTTTAAGCAGCTTCTCCTTCTTGCTCTGTACTTGGAAGCAAGAAGGTACAGACCATCCCTGACAATTCATGAGCATCGGAGAGGAGGTGAAGCTAAAGAAAGGGAATCCTGGCTATACACGTGGGAAGATGCTGCCTCGGTCCCACTGATCTCAGGCAAGCTGCCGCATCTCGCAGGAGCTCAGAGGAAGGGAGTCCCGAAGAGGCCCTTCCTGAAAAGCCTGGGGTTCCTCAAGACCTCAATCGTCATAGTCCTTGGAAACGTCACCAGCCAAAGCTCATTCTCTCAGCTTTCAAATCCAGCCTCATCCCCTCTTCAGTCTTCCAGACAGTTCCAGCACTGCCGCATGTGTCCCAACTCTTGTCTCTCTCCTAGACCAGTCAAACCCTCTCCTCTGCCCTGTTGTAGCTCAGGTGTATGTCCACATCCTGCCAGTGGGTTCCACCTGTTGGGGGTGACAGGGATACTGTCTTTCCTGGGCTTGTCCCATCTGGGCCCATCCCTCCCATTAGCCTGACTTTGATACCACCCTCTATTGTCTCTCAGGGCTATTACTCAAATGCCTGCCACCCCTGTCACTCATCACCCTGTACACAGGGCAACTTCCTTATGTGGAGCTTGCATGTCACACCCAGTTCCCCACAGTCCCCTTTGAGCTTAGAAGAAATACCCAAGCTTCGCTCTTGTAGGCTCCTTTCCACTAGGACCAGTCTCACCTGCAGGTGCACAGCTACTTTGTCATCCTTCAGGTGACCACAATTCCCAGCCTCGGAGGCTTCCTGACCCAGCTTGGATGCAGAGCATTCCATCCAACCTGGACCCTCCCTGACCTGGTGTCCTAGCTTGGTGGCTCTCAGCCTGGTGGAGACCATTCATGTGTCTCCTCTTTGTCCAGCATGCCTGAGGAAGTTGGCTCCACTGCTGGTCAACTTGCTTTCTGCAGGAAGACGTCTTTCCAATAGACCTTCACCCAGAAACAGGGCACATGCATCCATGTATGTACACAATATATGCATGAGCACCCTCAGCCAGCCTTCCTTCCCACCCCACATAAAAGACAGACTCTCAGTTGAGGAGCTTCTCCAGCCTGTGGGAGAGGATGCTTTTCCTTCCATCCCCACTCCACCAGCAGCCTTTGTCACCATCCCGGAAAACCCAAATCCATTTTCTGTGTTCAATATGCCTTCTCCCCACCAATCTGGATATTCGCTTTAAACAAGCTAAAGTGTAGTCACAAGAAAGAACCCAACAGCCAGATGCAACCCCCCTCCTTTTATGCATTCTGGTCCCACCTCGTCCATCCTCAATGCACCCTCATTTTAAACTCATAGTCTGGTTTCTATAACCATAGACCCCTGACCCATCCAGTGAATGTGTCTGAATGTTCACCTCACCTGCCTTCCCTGGA